AAACGGAAAAACTAACAGCAACAACAAAGAGTAAAACCTCAATCGAAAAGAAAATAGAAAATATTAAAAACTAGAACTAATTTATTCATTTACTTTAAAATCATTTTATTGGGGACCCGTACAATTATTATTTTTTTTTTTTTAAAGCTCACTGCTATCCAGTCCATGCCAATTCACAGTGACCTTATGGGGGCTTTTGAGGCTGTAAATCTTTACGGGAGCAGAAAGTCTCAGCTTTCTCCCCAGGAGCCGCTGGTGGGCTTGAACCGGTGACCTCATGGCTAGTAGCCCAATACTTAATTCACAGTGCCACCAGGGCTCTGTACAATTCTTATCATAATTCATCCATCCATCCATGTGTCAAGCACATTTGTACATGTTGCCATCATCATTCTCAAAACATTTGCTTCTTACTTGAGCCCTTAATATCGGCTCCTCATTTTTTAGAACTAATTTTAAATGGGTCAAAAAGAAGAGCAAATGATAAAGGTGTTAAATCTTAACCTAATTGCATCTGTAATAATCCACTTTCCAATGCCCTCGACAGGATAGCATGATATTCACATCCCTGGTCTGTGGTCAGAGGGGATTCATCCCAGACTTAATCCACGTGTATTTCCCCTTAACTGTTAAAAATTTTTTAAAATATATACACTGAAAACAGAAAAACCTTTTAAATGGGTCAAAAGGGAGGTCAAATGATAAAATATCACACTTTAACCTAACTATATCTACCATTTACCAATTGTGGTGCTGGAGAAGAATATCGAAAAGTACCATGGAATGCTGCCAATCAGGACAAAGTAATTATCTGTTGGAAGAAGTAAGGCCAGGGTGCTCCTTAGAGGCAAGAATGGCAAGACATCCTCTCATATACAGTACTTTGGACATCATGTGAGGAGGGACCAGCCCTGGACCTCATGCTGGTAAAGTGGAAGGGCAGTGAAAAAGGCGGAGGCCCTCGAGCAGATGAACTGACACAGGCAACCATGGCCTCCGGCAGGCGCAGAACTGCAGTGTTTTGTTCTGGTGTGCATAAGGTCGCTGTGGGTCAGAAACAACTAATGGTGCCTGACAACAACAACACAACAACAACAAATCCACTATAATCAACTTTACGATGCTCCCTGTCTGCATAATATATATATTTTTAATCATTTTATTGGGAGCTCATATTATTTAAAAAAAA